CCTCGTGGCCCCCTCGCTTTGTGTCGTGGCCCTGTTGCAGCCCTTCGTGGCCCCCTCGCCGCCCTTCGTGCCCCCGTTGCAGCCCTTCGTGGCCCCCTCGCTGCCATTCGTGGCCCCGTTGCACCCCTGCGTGGCCCCGTCGCTGCCTTTCGTGGCCCCGTTGCAGCCCTTCGTGGCCCCCTCGCCGCCCTTCGTGCCCCCGTTGCAGCCCCTCGTGGCCCCCTCGCTGCAACTTCGTGGCCCCGTTGCAGCCCTTCGTGGCCCCTTCGCTGCCCTCCGTGGCCCCGTTGCAGCCCTTCGTGGCCCCGTCGCTGCTTTTCGTGGCCCCGTTGCAGCCCTTCGCGGCCCCCGCTCGTTCGCGTCAGTCGTGTCCCCATATGCATTCTTTTCGTGGCCCCGTCGTCGCCCTTCGCGGCCCCCTCGCTGCCCTTCGTGGCCCCGTTGCTGCCCTCAGTTGCCCCGTCCTTGCCCTCCGCGGCCCAATGTACGTATGCCCTTCGTGGCCCTCGCTCGTTCGCGCCCGTCGTGGCTCCATGTGCATGCCCTTCGTGGCCCCGCCGTCGCCCTTTGTGGCCCCCTCGCTGTCCTACGTGGCCCAATTTCTACCCTCAGTGGCCCGTCGTTGCCTTCTGTGGCCCCGCATTATCTGCCCTTCGGTGCCCCCGCTCGTTCGCGCTCTTCGTGGCCCTATATGCATTCCCTTCGTATCCCCGCTGTCGCCCTTCGTGGCCTACTTCGTACCCTTCGTGGCCCTGCTGTCGTTCTCTCTCTCGCTCTCGCTTTCGCTCGTCGTCGTCGTCGTCGTCGTCGTCGTCGCCGTCGTCGTCGTCGACGTCGTCGTCGTGGTCGGTCCCCTGTCCGTCCCTCTTGGGGTCGGGCTGCCGCCGATCAGCGCTGCCGCTGGCCACGCCGACGGTCCGCGGACGCCCCGCCGCTTGCAGGGGCCAGGCATGCAATGAAGAAAGGTATACCCCCCCAAATGGGTACGAACACGAAAGCGGCGAGTATCGAAGATTTGGGACATACGCGTTAACGGACACTCGAGCACATAAGAGCGGACAGTTTTACCATTTGTTGTTGATGATGTTGTTGTTGCTGTTGTTGAATTTTCACTTCTACAAATAATCACTGATGATCCCCCTGCCCTGTAACCATTGCGTTTTTCAAATAGAAATGTTTTTTTTTTGTCGCGGGCTCGCACGTTTGTTGTTATCGTATTTAAACATGGAACGTGACGTGCCACTAAACTGTGCCCCTGGCCCCCGAGTGCCAGCAACAACGGCTCCCGCCTGATCGTTCTTGACAGTTGAATCCGAAATCGCGCTCTCGCGTGGGACTTCCTCGTAATGTCTTCAGACGCCGCGCCCTCGACACTCAGGAATCACGCTCTCGCTTTGGCCTTTGTTGCGATTTACTTGGGAATCGCGCTCTCGCCCGAGCTCTCTCGCGATTCATGCAATACTCATGCATCAGCAACGTGCTCTGTCGACCTGGCCGCCTACGCCCGCCTTCCCGGCCCGCCCGTTAGGGTCCACCCGCCCGATGGGCCCGTCTGGTTCTGCCGCGCGTTTTCTGCTCCTGGCCCCCTCCTGCTCATGCCATGCTACATCCTTCTCCGTCCCAATTCCATCCGTCATCTCTTCCCTGTTTCACTGGCTGCGCCAATTACATCGGCAGGTAAGGAAGATACACCCCCAAAGGGGGTACGATCGAAGACGAACAAGGCGGGGTACTGCGGGCTTGGGATCTACGTGTTGAGTGGCGCGCGGGCAGGTCAAAACGAACAATCCTACAATGATTGTTGTTGTTGTTGTTGTTGTGGTTGTTGTTGTTGTTGTTGCTGTTTGGTTGATTGGTCGGTTGGTTGGTTGGTTGGTTGGTTGGTTGGTTGGTTGGTTGGTTGTTGATGATGATGATGATGATGATGTTGTTTGTTTCGTTGTTGAACGAGCTCCCACTACTGAGCAACAATTATTGTTGATCCCCCTCCGGTGGCCATCGTGTTTTTCAATTGAAGTGTTCCCCTCGGGGCTCACACGCTGTTGCTTTTTTTTCCCAAGGGAAGTCACTCGGGTCAAACTGTATTGATAGCCCCCAAATTACAACAACAACAGCAACAACTGCTCACTTCCTTACATTTTAGCCAAGACCTCCGCTCCCGCCTGGGACTTCCTCGCATTTTACTCAGGAATCGCGCTTTTGTTTGGGGGCTCCCTTACAATTTCTTCAAGAATTGCTCTCTCGGCGCTCTGGATGGAGTCGCGATCTCGGTGGAGACTTGCTTGCAATTTGCTCGAGAACCGTGCCCTTGCGTTGGGATTCCCCGCAATTCACTCAGAGGCCGCGCTCCCGACAGTCAGGCGCCCAGGAGTCGCGCTCACGCTGAGGATCCCTCACAGATCACTTAGGAATCGGGAGCTCGCTGCACTTCGTGGCCCACTTGCAACCCTTCGTGGCCACCTCACTGCCCTTCGTGGACCCGCAGCAACCCTCCGTGGCCCCCTCGCCGCCCTTCGTGCCCCCGTTACAACCTTTCGTGGCCCCCTCGCTGCAACTTCGTGGCCCCGTTGCAAGCCTTCGTGGCCCCCTCGCTGCCATTCGTGGCCCCGTTGCACCCCTGCGTGTCCCCGTCGCTGCCCTTCGTGGCCCCGTTGTAGCCCTTCGTGGCCCCTCTCGCTGCCCTCCGTGGCCCCGTTGCAGTCCCTCGTGGCCCCGTCGCTGCCCTTCGTGGCCCCGTTGCAATCCTTCGTGACCCCCTCGCTGCCCTTCGCGGCCCCGTTGCAACCCTTCTTGGCCCCCTTGGTGCCTTCCGTGGCACCGTTGCAGCCCTTCGCGGGCCCATATGCATGCCCTTTGGTGGTCCTGTCGCTGCCCTTCGTGGCCCCATATATGCATGTCCTTCGTGACCCCTGCTCGTTCGCGCCCTTCGTGGTCCCATGCGCATGCCTTTCGTGGCCCCGCAGTCGCGCTTTGTGGCCCCCTCGCTGCCTTGCGTGACCCCGTTGCTACCCTCAGTGGCCCCGTCGTTGCCATCTGTGGCCCCGCATTATCTGCCTTTCGTGGCCCCCGCTCGTTCGCGCGCTTCGTTGCCCCATGCGCATGCCCTTCGTGGCCCCGCTGTCGCCTTTCGTGGCCCCTTTCCTGCCTTTCGTGGTCCCGCTGTCGCTGTCGCTCTTGGTCCCCTGTCCGTCCCTCTTGGGGTGTGGTTGCTGCCGATCAGCGCTGCCGCTGGCCAGGCCGACGGTCCGCGGCCGCCCCGCGCTTAGCGGGGCCCAACTTGCAGGGAAGAAATATGTACCCCCCAAAAGGGGTGCGGGTATCGAGGGTTCGGGAAATACACGTTGCATGTCGCTCGAGCAGATAAGAGCGAACAGTCTTAAACTGATTATCGTTGTTGCTGCCAAAACTCGCCTTCTCATTTCCACATGATTACCTTGTTGTTCCCTATTGCCCGGTAATCAGACCAATGTATACTTCAAGTTCGGGGTTGCTCTCAGGAGTCGTTCATGTCTTTGCCAGGAAAGGCGGGGTGCCACCACACTGGGCCCCTGCCCCCCGAACTACAACAAAAATGGCTCCCTCCTGATACTCTCTCTCAATTTGATCCCACATCGCGCTCTCGCGCGGGACGCTCTCACAAATTATGCAGGAATCGCGTTCTCGCGTGGGAGTTCTCCTCGTCATGTATTCAGGCCTCGCGCCCTCGACACTCAGGGATCAGGCTCTCGCTGTGGATATCTTCGCAACTCGGGAGTCGCCATATCGCTCGGGATTTCCTCGCGATTCATGCAAGAACCACGCTTCAACAACCCGCCTAATCGACCTGGCCACTCGGGCCCGCCTTCTTGACCCGCCCGTGAGTCTACCCGCCCGATCTGCCCGTCTGGTTCTGCCGTGTGTTTTCTGCTCCTAGCCCTCCCGTGCTACTTTCACTCGTGCTCCATCCTCCTCCCTCCCCCTTGTCCGTTCCTTCTATCCGTCCTCTCTTTCCCTGCCTTAGAGGCTTCAAGAAATACGCGTTGCAGGTACACTAAAAATATACCCCCAAGCGGGTACGATCGAAGACGAAGAGGGTGGGTATCGATGGTTTGGGATTTACGTGTTGTATGGCCCGCGAGCAGACACGAGCGAACAATCTTAAAGCTATTGTAGTTGCAGTTGTTGTTGTTGCTGTTGTTGTTGTTGTTGTTGTTGTTGTTGTTGTTGTTGTTCTTGCTGTTCTTGTTGCAGTTGTTGTTGATGATTTGTGGTTGTTGTTGCTGTCGTCATTTTTGATATGGTTATTCTTTTCTTCGCACCGCAATGAATTTCCACTCGCCGCAGTTATCAGGAGGCATCTGACTCTGTGCCGCGAATCTGGTTGCGATTCGCCATCGCCCCCTGCAGCCTCGTGAATATACTGAGACCCGCGAGCGGATATCCCAAACTGCTGCGCCGAACCGAGTGGAACATAACCAACTGGCGCCCGAACGACACCCCGACACCGCATTCTCCGAGGCAACGGCGAACACCGCCGTGCACGCAAAGCCCCCCAGCCGTAGAGGAACCCAAACATGCACGAACTTAAAGTTATAAGCTTTTGACGGTCCACGCAGATTTCTTTCTTGGATCTGCGCTGAATTTCTCTCCCTGGCGCGCGGAGCGCGCCAAGGACGGCGCTGGAGGCGCCGCCAGGGGGGCCCAACGCCGATCCAAGAAATCCGCGAAGACCGTCGAAAGATGACGTTTGTGCCGCTTTCTGTGCTTCGCGAAACCTCCCCTGCTCCAGCGCTGCCACCGCGGCGGTGCTGGCGGCTCCGTCGGGCGAGGGACCGAGGCAGAGGCAGGGGGCGAGCCGATTTTTGGATTGCCTGCTCGTTGAGGCAACTAGCCTGTCGAGTTACGGTGGCGCTGCGGCTAGCGATGCAACTGGGGCGAGCCGACCGAGGGAGTCGGGCCTGGAGACGGCAAGGGGGCTCGACCACGGAGGGGGACGAGAGAGAGCGGGCGCCGCCCCTCGCCTTCTCCCGGTCGTTCAGCATGCCGACGGGGATGCCGAGGCGCTTCTCCTGCCCGGGCGGCCCCTCCGCGGGTGGGGCTGCGGGCCTCCCCTCCCCCGCCACTCGCCAGTCTGCTGCTGGCTCCCCCGGCTCCCTCGACCCCCGCCCAGCCACGCCGACCCTCCCCTCGTGCTCCCCCTGGCTCCCGCCTGCTCGCCTTCCTTGCCTCACCTCCTCCTCCTCCTCCTTCTCCTGCTCGCTCCTCCTCCCCTCCTGCTCGCTCCTCCTCCCCCTCCTCCTCCAGGGGGAGAAGGAGGAGGAGGAGAAGGAGGGGGAGGAGGAGGAGGAGGAGGAGGAGGACGAGGAGGAGGAGGAAGAGGAGGAGGAAGAGGAGGAGGAGGAGGAGGAGGAGGAGGAGGAGGAGGAGGAGGAGGAGGAGGAGGAGGAGGAGGAGGAGGAGGAGCAGGAGAAGGGGAGCAGTAGGAGGAGGAGGAGGAGGAGGAGGAGGAGGGGAGGAGGGAGGAGGAGGAGGAGGAGGAGGAGGAGGAGTAAGTGAAGGAGAAGGAGGAAGAAGAGGATGACGACAGGAAGCCAGAGCTTTAAAAGCTCGTCGCCACAAGGCCGACAACAGGCCCCCCGAAGTGGCAGCCTGCGCCCGGTTTCTGCCCCCCCGCCCCCCCCCAAATGCGCTACTGCCACCCCCCCAAGTGCGCCACGCTCCGCGTGGCGTACCGCTCCAGTGCCGTGCCGCGTTCGCCGTGCCGTACGTGCCTCCGTCCCTGCGCCTGCTCGCGAGCTGGGATCCTCAAACCGCCTCAAGATCTTCTCGCTTCCGTGGCTCGCGGCCTCGACATGTACGCGGCCCCGCGAAGGCCGTGCCGCGCCGCGCGCGCCGTGCCCTGCGTTGCCGTGCCGCGTGCGTCACGCTGCGTCTGCTGTGCGATGGGTGCCGTGCCGCCCTGCGCCTCGGCGTGACGTGCCGAGCCGCGCGCGCTGTGCTTTGCGCCGTGCCGGCGGCCAGCCAGGCGATCATCTCGGCCAGGCACGGGGGGGACGTGCGTGCCCGGGGAGGGTGCTTCCGACGGTTGGGCAGTACTTGGTCGAGTGCGGCGCAGCGCGCGCCCCCTGGCCCAAACATCGGATCCAGCATCAATTGTCGTGTTGATCTTTCTTGTTGTTGTTGTTGCTGCTGTTGTTGCCGTTGTCGTTGTCGTTGTCGTCGTTGTGGTTGCTGCTATGTCGTTTCTCGATATTTATGTATATACAGATGTCTAAGAATGCTGTCTGCCGTGGTCCCATACATACATACATACATACATACATACATACATACATACATACATACATACATACATACATACACGCAACACATTATACATCCATGCGTACATACATACATACATACATACATACATACATACATACATACATACATACATACATACATACATACACTCAACCATACATACATACATACATACATACATACAGACAGACAGACAGACAGACAGACAGACATACATACATACAGACATACAAGCACACACATTTATATACACACAGACACTAGAACCACGCGCGCTTCGCGCGCGCTTTCGGTTCCAGCAAGCTCCACCTGTAGTCCGAAGTGCTCCGTAGTGGAAGACATCGACCACCGCACGGGCCGCGCCCCTCACGGCCCTGCACGTGCGGCCCCAGGCGGACGCCTGGCTGGCGTCCCCCCAGCCTTCTATCGGCATACCCCTCACGGGGATTGCGCCCCACAGGGAGCTCCACCGGCGTCCCCAGAGGCAGAGGTGCGCAGAGTGGCGCGCTCCTCGCGCGGATCGCGCCCCCGCAGATAAGCTGCATCTGCGGCACGAGCTTCATGGCGTCGCCCCGCTCACTTTGGCACGCCTCTTACACGGATCGATGCCCGCAAGGAGTTCCACGGACAGCCCCGGAAAGAAGGTTCGCATCCCGCCCTCCCGTCCAATTGCGCAAACCTCTCGCACGGATCGTGGCCCGCAATGATCTCCACCTACGGCCCCAAAGGCAAGGTTCGCACTGCGCCCCCCCTGGCCATTCTGGCACACCCCATCACGCCGATCGTGCCCACAAGGAGCGCCACCTAAAGGCCCAGAGACCAGGTTCGTACAGCGCTCCCCCCCCCTATGTCGGCAGACCCGTCACGCGTACCATGCCCCAGAAGGAGCTCCACCTATGGCACCAATTGGCAGCTTCGCATGGCGTTCCCCTGCCCATTTCGGATCATGACTCGTACGGGTCGTGCCAGGAGGAGGTCCACCTGTGGCCTCAGTGGGGGCGTTCGCGCGGGGGCATCCTAATTATTCGGCATACCCTTCACGCGGATGTGCAAGAAATTCAAGAATTCAACACACCCGTGCACGCGTGCTCCGCACCAACCATCCTTCCGCAAAGTATGAAGACAGACCTGCGCCCTGCGCTACACATGGCTGCATAAGGATGGGTCCGTCGCCGCTCTGTTCGCTTTTTGGTGGCCTCTGGAGCTGTTTTGAGCGGGGGGGAGGCCCAAGAGGCCCCGAAAATCAAACATGTCGTGGGGAAATCCGGGAAGATGTCCAGGTCTGGGCCCCGGGCCCCCAATACAACAGCATGTATGATCCTGGGCTCCGGGCCCACGGCCCCCCCCCCAGATGGAACGGGTATCAGGGTCTCTCGGGGCCCCCCCAGATGGGATAGGGAGGGGGACGACGACGACGACGACGACGAAGACACCGTCCGCTCGGGCTCCCTGAAGCACCGCAACAGTACGCCACACCCAGAGGGAGGCGACGACGGGGAAAAGACAACGTCGATGACGATGTTGCTCCTCCTCCTCCCTCCGTCCCCCTCCTCATCCCTCCTTCCTCGTTCCTTGGCTCTTTCTTCCCTAGCTAGCTAGCTTGCTCCCTTCTCTCACTTCCACTTGTTCGCGCATACTGCTCATCTGGAACACACGCGAGAGCGAGAGACCGACCGACACAATACAACTTCCTGGTAAGAACCACAAGAAAAATATCCCGCTGTGTTGGGTTCAGTTTTCTCACCGGGGCAGGAACACAAGGGAAAAGCCGCTGGGTGAAGACAGAGCGTGCGCCTGCGAGCACCACAGTGCCCCGCGGGCACCACAACGTGTTTGGCTGGGAACAGAAGTAAGACGAGGACAACGACAGGAGGACGATGAGGAGGACAACGACGACGAGGCCATTGCCCGTCTCGGGCCCACAAGCGTCCAGAGTCCTCCCAGAGCACGAATGGACAACAGAAGAGTAATCAAGCGGATCGTTTCGGCATGACCCCGCGACTCCCTCGCCCTTCCCTCCTCCCAAGTCCCTCCTCCCTTCTTCTGTCCTTGTGCGAAGAAGAGGACGAAGACGACGAGAGGAGGGACACGACGACGACGATAACGACGACGACGCTGGAAAAGGAGAAGGAGGAGGAATGCGGGAGAAGGAGGAGGTAGAGCAGGAAGACAAGGAGAAGGAGAAGGAAGGCGCTCTGCCGTAGCACATCACTATAACTATTCGCGCTCTGCGTAGCAGATCCCTGGAGGTATCTACTGTCCGAGCTGTCTTTGGTCATTCCTCTGTCTTTGGTCATTCCGAGGTAATACAAGACGGCGCCGGCGCGAAACGTGACGTCACCCACCCCCTCCCCCGCCCGGTAACGCACGGGAGCAAAAGACGCTCTCCAAGAACGATGGAACCCTGCTTCTCAAACTTCCGCGCAGTGCGCTGTCCGATCGGACGACGCGGACGATGGTCGTTTTCAAAGGAATATCCATCGGGTTTCCATAGGTTTCCTGAGTTTCCCAAGGATATGTGGGTTCTGCAACAACAACAGACAACAGAGACAAACAGAGACAAACCAAGACATCCTCATCTTCACCGTAGTTATCAATGCATGCATCCTCCTGTATGGCCCTCCTCTCCGAGCTGCTTCTCCGTTGTCATCGCCACTATCATCACCATCACCCTCCATCTCACTACCATCGCCATCACCATCACCATCACCATCACCATCACCATCATCATCATCATCATCATCATCATCATCATCATCATCATCATCATCATCATCATCATCATCATCATCAGCATCAGCATCAGCATCAGCATCAGCAGCAGCATCAGTATCAGCATCAGCAACATCATCGTCATCATCGATCATCACCACCATCACCACCATCATGACAATCATCATCGACCATCACCATGGTCATCACCATCATTGTCAGGTATAGGAACGCTGGCCACCAAGGACACCCAGAATTCCACCCAGACCCACCAGAAACCCGTACACTCAGACACCTAGACACCCAGTCGCCGAGACACCCACCTAGGCCCCCAGCAGCCTAGACATCCAGACTCCCAGAAACCAAGACACCCAGACTATCAGAAACAAAATCCACCAGAGACCCGAACGCACCCCCCCCACCACACACACATCGAAGCCCAACACTCATGGAGGGCGGCCCCGTAGCAAAACACAATGTTTCATGAGTGGAGGCCTTCGGGGCGCCCGTCTTCCAAGAGCGCCCGTCTTCCAAGAGCGCGCGTCCAATTGTGAAAAAGACTGCTTGCACTGACTTGTGATGCGGGGGCGTTGGGTGGGCGATCGACGATGCATCATGAGTGGGCGCCAAAGGGGCGTACATCCTTACCGAGCACCCTTAACACTAGTCCACCGTCTTCCATTGTCCTCCATATCCATTCCAGCTCAAATCGTTTGGCGATAGTTTCCAATTTCGCACCAGCGAGCGGGGAGCTCGCGACCGATCGTACCAGCCATGGAGTGCGAACTCGCTGAGAATATCAACATGCCGAAAGACATTGAAATGGACCGCTTCCCTAATATGAACATCCGCCTACAGGAGCTCACACCAAACTACACGCGCCAGGGAACGTTATGCGTCCCGATCCTGTGGAATATCTCCAGCACGAGAAAGGCACAAACAACAGAGACGCCCAACGCCCAGACCGTGCAGGAGACCCAAGACGCTACGGTCGACTACAAGAGGATAGAGTTCGACCCGCCAGTGAAACGCACGCGCGTAGCGCTAGCCATATCGGGTCCACGCTCCGGAAGCAGCAACGGCCTTGCTCCACCTTTGAGGGCAGTGTAGTTGGGCGATGGAGAGCCACGCAGGCCGCCAGGTCCGCCGCCAGAACTCGACGACGGCGAGCCGCGCACGCCGCCAGACCCGCCGCTGGAGCTCGAAGATTCCCTTCCACTGGTTCAAGGTGATTTAAATCTGCCAGGTAGCAGCATCGCAAACCTCGCCAGGTAGCAGTTGCATGCCAGCCGCAGCTCTCGCCAAGCAGCGGCATCGCAACTCTCGCCAGGTAGCGTCACTGCAACGGCTCACGCCAGGTAGCCGTATCGCAGCTCTCGCCAGGTAGCAGTAGCGCAGCTCTCGCCAGGTAGCAGCGCTCGCCAGGGGGAGGGGGGCAGAGGGGGAGCAGGGGGGGGGAGGAGGGGGATGAGGAGGGGGAGCAAGCTGATGAGGAGCGAGCAGGAGGAGGAGGAGGAGGAGGAGGAGGAGGAGGAGGAGGAGGAGGAGGAGGAGGAGGAGGAGAAGGAGGAGGAGGAGGAAGAGGAGCGAGCAGGAGGAGGAGGAGGAAGATGCGGTGGCGGCATCGCAGCGGCGGCTCCCGCCATAGTTCCATATCGCATAGCGGGCTTCGCACGCAGAGTTTAAAGCCCGCCGCAGCTCTCGCCAAGTAGCTAGGCCTGGCCATTGTTCCACATCAGCAGTGGGATTCGCACGCAGATTTTACAGCGCACCGCATGCAGCTCTCGCCAGGTGGCGGCATATTGCTTGCCGCGGCTCCTGCACGCGATCCCAACAACTTCGCGCGCAGAGTTTGCCCGCGCCTCAACTCGTTCATGCACGCACGAATTTGGTCGCAGCTCAGAGCTCGGAGCGCGCGGCCTGCTATACCAGGCCACCCAACCAACCGATCAATCAGCTAATCAACTAACGAACCAATCAAGCAACCACGCAACCAAACAAACAACCAATCAACCTGCCAACTGAGCAACCAACCACCCTGCAAGCTAGCCCTCCGATCGACGAAACAGCCAACCGACCAGCGAGTATTTTCCAGCCATCCACTGACCCAACAAGTCCGACCAACCATCCAGCCGATCAACCAGCCAGACGACTGGCAAGCGAGCCGACCAGCCAGCGATCAACCAGCCATCTAAACACTCAACTATCTAGCAAGCGAACCGGTGAACGAACAAAGAGCCAACAAATCAGCTACCCAGTCAGCCAACCCACCCAACCAACCAACAAACCAATCAACGTGCACCCCGACCAGCCAGAACCGTCCGACCACACAACTGATCTGCCAACCAACCACCCAAACAACCAACCAACTAACCGACCCGCCGACCAACCAGCAAGCCAGCCAGCTAACCAGTCAGCGAACTAATGAACCAAGCATTCCGACAGCGAGCGAGCCACCGATCCAACCAGCCAGCCAACTGGCCAGCAAGCTACCAACCAGCCATCCAGCCAGCCAACCAACAAGCCAGAAAATCATCCAGCCAGTCGATTCACCAAATATCCAACCAACCAACTAGCCGACCAGTCGGCCAACCAACCGACCAGCCAACAAGCCACCCAGCGAACCAGCCAGCCCACCCACCAGCGAGCCAGCCATCTGGGCTTGAAGTGAAGCCCTTTTGGCGCGATTCCTGTCTGTTTGAAACCATCTTGAGCCGTCTTGAGCCCCTCTTGGCACCTCTTTGGGCCATCCCAGGTTCCTTTGGGGACATCCTGGGGTCTGGAGGCGTCTTCGGACCATCTTGGGGCGGCCTTGGGCCGTACTGGAGCCGTCTTGGGGCCGTCTGGGAGGCCATCGTGGACCCTCTTGATGGATCCCCTGTGCATCTTTGGGGTATTATGCGCGTCCTTTGCTTGGCAAATTTCGGCTCTCGGGGGTTCCGCGCGGAAGAATCATCCGAAAATCTTTCGGGGCCACCCTGGCACAACCCCTTTTTGATCATGAACGAACGTAGTCTCTTCTGGACACCGACCCTTCGCAAACACGACGTCATCTGGATGCAATTCTGGGGCGAATCCGTGAAGCCCCTCTCGGGACCTCCAGATTGGAAATACTGCACAGAAGCGCGCCAGCGTCTACCTGGCATTGCCGAGCGCTTCTTGCGAAATCCTGATCTACCACAAATCGGCAGTCCAAGTTTATCGCGCCCAACCCAAGGGAGGGATGGCAGTTTCAGAATCACACAGATTCACTGAACGCAAGATACATGCATTACCATACCTCTGGTCATGAGCGCCCGAGTATGTAAAGCAAAGAACGAGATGGGCGCTGCTCTTACCACGAGCACGCCCTTGCACAATGACGAATTATTATACAGGAAGCAAGCTGCACGTGTCCCTCTTGGCACCCTGCGACAGAACATGCATAACGAGGAAAGGTCTCAAATCACTGTCAGCCTTGCGGCGACCTCTCAGATGGGGATGCAGCGTGGCCGTGCCCTGATAGGGCTCAAGCACACGAATGTAATGTTACACGGCTGGCATTGGGCACGGTTTTCGTTACCCCCTGCCAGGACATCAATCAACTACATAATTAAACACGTCGTGCGGCTGTGCTTGGACAGGGGACGCCGTGGGCCTCCGCTGGCCATGCGCAGGTCAGAAACAAACACTATGATACAGACAGCAAGAGCCGTCAGCAGTACCCTGCAATACCTCGACCAAGATTCCCCCTATCTGCCAAGCGGGTGCTTCAACAGATTGCCTGGCGAAGCTCACATTGTCACGCTTACTAGAGCATGCGAACCCCTCGAACATGGCCTCTCAACAACAAATGTGCATCAACGACCCTCGGGCTGAGCCGGAATTTGACCCCGAACTCGCCGGGCGCGCGCTTGATCCACCCCCGTTGAGCTGAGGTACTCCTTGGGCAGGACCTCGTTCAGCAGAGTCTGGCCATGTTTGCAAGCCTTGATGGCGTCGAGCGACGGCTGCCTGAGCAGCTGCTGGCAGGCCAGCGCCAGCAAACCTCCCTCAGGCTTTGCGCCACAAGCGACCGGCCCACTGGCACTGGCTGCAACCTTGAAAAGCCTCTGGGTGCTTGCGAAGCCGTGGGCGTTGGTGGCCAACGTCGCCAGAAGGGGCTCCTGCACCAACACCTGCCTCGCAATGTCCAACTGGTCGCTCCAGGAGCTGTACGTGAGAGCCTTGTCCAACACACCACAGGCGAAGACACTGTCTACGAAATGGGCGACGTTGCGCCGCACAGCCTCTCCGAAGTCAGAGGAACAGAAAACGGCATAAACATAAACTCTCGGAGGTTCGCGCGGGTTTCTTGGACTGGCGCTGGGCCCCCTCACTGGTGCGCTCCGCGCGCCAGGGGCGGCGCCAGAGGCGCCGCCAAGGGGCCCAACGCAGGTCCAGGAAATCCGTGGGGAACGCCGATCTTTTTTGTTCAAGCAATTTTTTCTTCTTCGAGATGTGCTTCCGGTTCCCCTCGGTCCCGTGCTCGAGCAAATGCTGAATCACAAAATTCCCATAACGGTCATCACTCAAGGACTCGACCTTGTCGAGGATGTCGCCCACCGCTCCCGCAAGCGTGCGCGCAGGAAAGTGCTCGATCAGACGCTCGAGGACTCTGCACCCGTAGGGCTGACGCGCCAGTGCGGAGGGACTCCACTCGTGTAAGACCTCGCTGCAGATGAAGTCCACAGCCTCCGGCGGCAGCAGTTCCACGGCCCGCTGCAAGACGTGGTTGCCGTGCGGGCACTCCACCAGCTTGCACACGTGCCCCCGTAGCTCCTGGTGAAGCCACAAGATTCCGATAGCGCTGCCCTCCTGGGGCGCGTTCCGACTAGGATTTCGAAGCGAATCCAACTGTGGCGACGAAGGCCTCCCAGGAGGCCCCCCTGCATGCGAAACCGAGGGAATGATAGCGGTATGTCGGTACTTGTCCTCCTCTCCCTGAGAATTGACGTTGCGAAAGACTTGCAACACCGTGAACACCACGACCGAAACTCTGGACCCCATCTTTCTGCATCATTCTTCGAGCCGGATCGATCTGTGAGGGTCCTGGGGCCCGAAATTGGGCGAAAACGCCCAGCGTGAAACATTTGCAGCGCCAAGATCTCAGGACTGAGCTCCTGCACGATCAGCTTCTGCTCCCGCTTCTGGGCGCGGACCAAGGCCTCCTGCACCAGCCGGCAACCCGCGGCCGTGCCCGAGAGCTCAACGACCCGCCCGCTCAGCCGGCGCAGCAGCTCCGCCGCCTCGCCAGGGCGCTCGCCGCCCTCCGAGACCCGCCCGGCCTCGCCGACCTCGCCCAGGAGGAGGAACGAGCAGGAGGAGGAACGAGCAAAGGAGGAGGAGGAGGAGGAGGAGGAGGAGGAGGAGGAGGAGGAGGAGGAGGAGGAGGAGGAGACGAGCGTAAAGAAAGAGTCCCATAATCCACGACACCCGAACCACAGAAGATCCGCGATCCGAGGGGATGGCTTAGTGAGGGCGGAAGCCTTAATAATAAACGTCTTACACGGGAGCGCCGTCGCGGCGGCGGCGACAAGGGCGGCGCACGACTGCAACCAGAAGCCGCCGATGGCAAGAACCACGAAGAGCGGCAGGCGCTCCACCATCAGCAGAGAGCCCAGTCCTAAGCCTCAGTCAACATCTGGTTCAGGAGGCAAACTCGACAGCATGTGCCCGCCAGGCCACTCTGCAGGCGAGGGGCCACGCATGGTGAGGAACTCCTCCATGGCATCCTCCAGCACTATATCTTCGAAGCGGCCGTAGTCGATAGGCGACGTAGGTGGTTCCATCTTGGTGGGGCCACCGCTAGCATGCCGAGGGGCTTCAGCACTTGCCGCTCGTGGCACGCTCCGCTCGCGAGGAGCGGGGGCCGGCCTGGCGGTCTCTTGGGTGTCCTCGATAAGGCGGCCCTCAGGATGAAGAAAGACGCAGTCCAAGCGGTGGCAGCGCCGTCCATATTTGCACACCAAATCCGCAGTGCTATCATCAGAAGGCCGAGGGCCAGCAGCAGCGGGCGCCATACGGCGAGTGCCTTTGACCAAAGCATCCAGCTCAGCAACTTGGGTCTGGAGCACATCGATCTTCTGGAGCGGGTCGGCAAGCTGCGTCGCCAGCAGGTCCAAGGTGTTCAGGATAGGCTCATTCTGCGCTTTGAGAGCTGCAGGGACGGCCTCACGAACAGTCTTGACAACAAAATTGGAGAGCTCCGTGACCGTAGCTTTGAGTCTGCCATCAAAGCGGCAGGAAAGATCATCGAGCTGGGCTTTGACTCCTTCAATCCCATCTCTGACAATGTCGATCTCGTCCCACACCGCGTCTGATCCAGAGGAGGCGGCAGAGGGACTGCTCTCGGCACTCCCATCCTCAGTACCGCACGGCACCACCTTCGCAGGGGCAGCAGCACATTCTTCAGAAGACACTGTAGCATGAGGCGCTTCCCCGAGTTTGTCCAGCGTCCCTTGGAGCTTGGCGATCGTGTGATTCTGGTCGGCGACCAGGTTAGAATACGCGAGAAGTTGTGAATCATACACAGTTTGAGCAGACGCCAAAGCCTCGGGGACAGACCAAGTGGCTTGATGCGAAGCCGGCTGAGCAGAGGGACGGGCGCTGCCATTCCAAGACAACGTCTGTGGTACAAAATCAATGGCCGTCGGGTCCAGACCAGCAGCTGGCGGGCGAGGTCGATACCGCGGAGCCGTCACAGATGGCCCAATGAGAAAGTCATGCACAGAACTCTGCTCGGGACCAAAAACTTCCACGATGAAATCAGCGATACTCTGTTGTGTGATATGCTCGCACAAATGGTATGCAAAATCGATCTTGATAATCTTGTTGCGTAACTTGGGCGACAGGTCAGGTGATGCACGAGCTGCCGCAGATAAACCTTGGAAATGCGTCCCATGGGCGCTTGCCAGGCCTCGCAGCAGCCGAGTGCGAAGAGCAGAGACCAATTCGCGAGTATCCATTGGCGACGACATCAGAAGAAAAGAAGAACACAGGGGCAATACAGCAGCATCCGCTTGCGCCACAATGGCTACGGTGGAGGAGGAGGAGGAGGAGGAGGAGGAAGAGGAGGAGGAAAAGGAAGAGGAAAAGGAGGAGGAGCACCTCGATAAGCAACTGCTCGGTTCCTGCCCGCTGGTGCCTATGCATTCCCATCGATCGGGCGCCGTGGAATGCCGCGACCATTGCGCAGCACGCGCCCAGCGACAATGCCACGGCAATCTGCCGTACCCCTATGCCAGGTACCGTGCTCACCACGTCCTGCGAGGGCCCCAAAAAATGCACCACCTGTACATCCCTCGTCCTCCCTCCTCTCCGGTCTGCTCACTCCCTACAACAATCGCGCTAAAATGAGGGACGTCGAATATGGAACGAAGGGGTTACTCTGGCCCTGGCAAGCTCTGGCCACGAGTAGGATCCCCGACCTAGATCTAAGGAACAGCCCAAAGCCAGAGCCACTCTTTAGCCCAAACTGGCCCATAATTCAGCGTCTCGACTGTCCTCCTCCTCCTCCTCGTCCTCCCCCTCCTCCTCCTCCTCCTCCTCCTCCTCCTCCTCCTCCTCCTCCTCATCATCATCATCATCATCATCATCAGCAGCAGCAGCATCAGCATCATCACCAGCATCATCAGATTCCTCCTCCTTCCTCCTCATCATCCGACAAAATGTTCAGAATGCTGTTCTCTGCGTTTGGAAATTATACAATTGAAAATGGTTGAGTGCCAGCTTGTGCTACGCCGCGGTGGGTATGCACGCCATGGTGTCTTACGCGGTCATCCTGCGCGGCTCGCGCCCTCCATTGACCGCACGATGCCCGAAGAGGTTCCTCGAGCTGCTGCGTGGTGGCGAGCTGAGTTAGCGCCCCTCCCCTACAAAGATGGGCCGCGGCTGCTGCTGCTGCTGCTAAGGATCTGCGCGATGCCTCCATCACTGGCCCGGACGGCCGCTCGTGCTGCTCCTGAGGACGGGCAGGAGGCGTGGTGCTCGTGAGGTACATGCCTGGCTCAGGCATGACACTGCGGAGGTTTTTTTGTAGGTCAGGGATCGGAGGGCTCCTGGGTGCTCACAGGACTGCGCAGACTATACCGGATAGCGTGGCAGCTGCGGGGAAGAAGCGCGAAAGCAAGAGCTTGACGAAGCACCGCCTGCTAGGACTACGTCAAGGACACTGCGGAGGAGATTGAATCCGCCGACCCTCGCCTGCTGGGGGCGAAAAGCGTGTGAGACGTTTGGCTGTGCCCCTCCCCCGGCTCCCCATCCCCTGGGGTCCAAAATGCCCTTTGACGGGGTTGTAGAAGGGGGACGAGCTCTCAAACGCATCCCCAGGGCCTCCGGAGCCTTTCCCGAACCCCAGGACGGCGCATGAGGTCCAAAACAAAACGCCTAAACAGCTCCAAAACAGTTCCAAAAAGCGTCAAGATCGCCAAAAGTACCCCCACGACGACCCTACATGGCTTCGAGATGGCCCACGAAGCGCCCAAGAAGGCCCAAAAGTGCTCCCAGAGGACCGCCGAGAGGGCCCCCAGAAGCGAAAATCGTCCCACTCCCATCGGGACATGCACATGTTTCGCATACTCACCTTCTTCGTCCTGCCACTGTCAAAGACGGCCCAAGGGTTTCCAAAGATCGTCCCAAGACGGCCAATGAGGCCCCCACGAGAGCCCCATGACGGCCTAAGAAAACCCCAAGACGGCCCAAGAGAGCCTCAAGGGAGCCGTAAGGGGGGCCAAAGAAGGGGAATACGAACTGACATATTTCGAGTCTTCTCCCCAAGATGGCCCTAAGAGCCCCCACGACGCCCCCGAGGCGCCCACATGAGGCCCCAAGAGGCCCCCGAGGGGTCTCCAAAAAGCCTTCAGGAGGCCCCCAAGAAAGCCCAGAAGGAACCCCAGATGCCCCCAAGAGCCCTCCAAGAGGCCCCTTGAGAGGCATCTCACGAGCCCCCCCCCATGCATCCAAGAAGCTCCTGACCCACCAGATAACTTCCAAGATCCTCGCAAGCACTCGCTCCTTCTGGGAGGTCAGCGGAATGGCGTAAGCCACTTGAATGTGTCGTGTTATCCCGAATCGTATTATGCGACTCCCTGAAGACCTCATGGACCTCATGCAGCATGGAAAAACAGATTGGGGAGGGGTCTTTGGACTGCGAACGACATCAAGCGACAGGCCTTTAGTGAGGCTCTCTCGGACCTGCGGCCCATTGCCCAGGATGCTGCTGAGGAGTTGGAACCTCTGACGGCTCCTTACTGATGTGGCGCGAGGCGTTGTTGTTCTTGTCCAACAACACCGATGTGGGAGTTCATCCGTGGGCTGCCCGTGCTTTCCGAGATTTCTCCGTGCGCGCCCACGAGGTTTTGTCCGAAGCGTACAACCCCTTGTGAAAAAGGCCCAGGTGTGGCCTGCCCGAGGCTCTGTTAGGGGGTGGCTGGCCTCCTCCCCAAGACCGTGGCATCTGAAAGACCGAGTTGTCGGGGATGGACAGACCCCCCTTTAGTAAAA